ACAAATTTGAGATATTAACTAAAAACAATTTTGAAAAATGGTTTTCAGTGGATAGGACCACTGAAAACCCTATTAAAAAGCAAGAACAACCTGATCCTATTTTTAGATTATTAATTTCCTCAATGAAACTATCCTATAATTCAACCAAAATCAATATATTTATGTCAAAGATCATATTATTATTGTATCAAATTTAGTTGTATTGGATTTAAGAACAAGGTATTATTGAATATAAATAAAGTATATTTAAAACATGTGTAAGACTATTTCATTTAAGATGTACATAATTCTGTAATTGAGCAATAGATACTCTTCATTTAATTAGAGGTATTTTTAGGATATTTTTTTTTATTTACAATTAAAAGAATATTTTTCTTTGTCTTAGTAATTTTTGGGAAATATTAACCCCTTTAAATTGGGAAAACCATATGAGATATCAAAATGATTTTTATGCCATATTTTGTTGCTAGTTATATACTGCTCATTAGTATCTAATCAGTGTTACAGATTACAAAAAACATGTTTCCCCATTTCGTCGGTCTGTCTGTCTGTATTTCTGTCTGTCTGTTGGCACGATATCTTAAAAACTGCTTTATACAAACAAAAATTGTGTGAAGATCAGGTTGTTTTCTGGCTCAAAATCAGTTATACTTCTGGTTAGTTATATACAGGGTGAGCAGATTTTTAAAAGTCGGCCGATTTCGACCAAAATTGGTATCTGAGAATTTTAGAAGCCAAAGATAACAGATTCTAAAGTTTTTAAAAATGACATTGTAAGGAATCGCATTTAATCAGAAAAGGCCCCCGTTGAATGGAAATAATAAAACTCGTCCTTTTGATTTATGTAACTGGGCCATTTTAAAAGCAGCCAATGATTATTTCTCAATTACGGTGAACTTGACGAAGAATACCGAACAGACGCGAAGTTAGATTTCGGGTGGGTTCAAGAGGAAGATCGATGGAGAAAAAACATGAAAAAGGATTTTTGGTTTGGTGGTTTTAATTTTAAATTAATAAAATTTAGGTACTTAGGCGTTCTCTATTTTTACAATTTCTATATCGGGCTAAGTTCTGGGTAAAATACTTAACCGATTCTTTTGTTTTTGTGTTGCCAGATAATTTTTATACTGTAAGGTAATATTAGGTAATTAGGATATTGTCACGATTATCAGATTTATATATTAGCTTATATCACCTAATTAAAATGAACCAAATTTATGAAATTAAATATTTATTGACTCTAAATTAAAGTTATAAAAAAATTGCACAGAAACATGACAATAATAACTCTCGAACCGAAAAGAAATATAGTACTTTATAGTATAAAGCTGCATAGCCATTATTTTTTATGAACCATAGAAGAGAGAGAGAGAGAGAAAAATAAATCGATCTTATTTTTTAAGAGCATAAATTTCCAAAAATATGCCGTAAACCCGATTATGATACAGCTTATAGAGACAGAGCTACAGCACTTGCTTGTACAATAAACAATAAATTGATAAATATTTCTAAAGCAAAAAATTATCAAAAAATATGCCGGAAATTTAATTCTGATATACCTCATAAAAACAGAAATATAGCAATTAGCAGATTATACCTAAAAAATTAGTTCGCTCACTCTGCGTCGGCACTTTTGATCTCAATGTTCCAATTTATATATTGCGCAACTCGGATTTGTATCCCTGGTGCATACAGAATCAAATCCTAATAGCCCAAGAGCCCACTGCAAATTTTTACCGTCATCTGATAACGAAATGAAATATACCCCAAAAGACATGTAAAAACATTGTAGTTTACCAAATGGTACCTGTGCCAATCCCAATCCAAATCCTGAGCAAAGTGGTTAAAAAAACTTATTTTGTATTAAAAAAATCACATAAGGCATGACAGCGCTAATTTTGTTTGTCCTTAGAGTTTTCCAGAATAGTATTTTGTGCAACAAGAGTGGATATGATGGCCATATCGCAAGAAGACGAAATTTGAGCACGACGCCGTAGGCGGAGTGCTTAATCGTACAATATCAAAAATTTAGGAATTTGGGAAAATTCGACATTGATACAGGAATTGATGAATGCCGTATTAGCAGTAATATAATTTCTGTTGATATGACATCCAATTTATAAAAATTCGGACCAAGCGCCGTTTCAGTCTCGTTCTTAAAACTTCAGAACCTTTATACAGCATCGGTATATATGAGAAATGCTCATATTTTCGTTAACGTGAGTTAGGTTTTCAATGTACATTAAGCGCCGTAAACCTGATTATTACTGAGGCCCTTTCTATGGGGCCTCAGTATTGCATTCGTGCAGACGAAAAAAATTTTCTGACCCCCATTTTTTAAAACTTTTTTCATGTTTCTGATCATTCTGAGTCCGAAAATCCAAAAAAAAATTTTCGTCAGGTCGTCTGTATGTATGTATGCCGGCACAATAACTCTAGAACGAAAGTTCTGATTGACTTGCGGTTTTGATTTTCTTAAATAATTGCTTCTAACTTAGAACCTTATTGATTTTTAGAATTTTCGGTTTATCCTAACTGCTTTAATATCAATTTTCCTAAAATCCGCCAATGCATTCCTTATGTGACAATTTTAGAAATTTCAAATATTTCTAACGTAAAAATTCCTAACATTTTTACATTCCATAAATTGCAAACATTCTCTAACGACCTGTCAAACAACAGATATTGATAGTAAAAGTGAAATTTCTAAGGCGGGTTGCGACCTGCATACTTGCAACTATAGCGATTTTGGAGGCTACTTTAATTCGAAATTAGTCGCCAAGTCTGCCAATTTATGAAAAATATATAAGCAGTTTCTCAAAAATTACTTTTTTATAATGGTGCTATTAAGCGTACTACTATTTCGCCCCTAGCCACAAAAAAAAACCTTTATCAAATTTACAGGTTCTCTGTCGCAACCCCATAGAATAATTAACCGGCCATTCTATTTAGCAAAAATTAGAATAATGCTTGGCTGTGCCTGTCAAGTATTGTGATATGTGAATGGCTCTTAAATGTCAAATTATTTAAAACTGTATACTTCTTTTGATATTTATTGCAAATAATTTGTAATGTATCTCAATTCTGCTTTCCATAAATAAAGGTACAGCAAGAGAGATAATATAATGTTCTTATACAAAGCACTTTTTTATTATATAAAAGAGAGGAAGGATATAATGCCCATTTCAAATTTGGATCAATTATGATACCGAGGTATTTTGTTGTGTTTTTCATTTTAATTATAAAGTTGTCATTTATTTGTATGTTAAAAGAAGGGCTTTGTAAATTACATTGCTCTCTATGGATCTACTTTAACAAAAAAATAGTTTTGTGGCTATCAGTTGCTATAACCTATCGTCGCAAAACTATTAATAATTTAAACATAGTAAGTAGTAATAATATAACATCAAGTAATTTTTAAAAATAAAGTACATGATCTCAAAACAAATAATCTAAAATAAATGCGGATAAAACGAGGGGTAAAATAACAATAAATTAAGGGAAATACTTAAAAAGGGCAGGTTTAAAGAGTATTATCACAAGAAAGTATAGCCCTTGTGTTTATTTATCAAGTATTGATTGAGGTTACTTTTGAATACATTTATTGTTTTTTTTTTTTAATTTCTGTAGGCAGTCTATTAAATTTTTTAAACCTTTATTAAAAATTGTATTTTGGGAACTTTTAGTGATAGGTTGCCGAACATGAAAGTCAGATTGGCTTCTTGTATTATAGTTGTGATATTGCGAATTATATTGAATTTTTTCTAATAGATCTGATGCGATGGTACTGTCATTTTTATTTTATAAATAAATATCAGTCATGTACCGAACATAATTATGAACTGAAAGCCAATTTATTTCTTTTAAAATAAGGTTTGTTCCAACATAAACCAAATCAGTTTGCGTACTGTCGGGATTCTGCGCAGTCTAGAATTTGTGTTCCAACAAATCTTAGACTCGAAACTGTACAAATACATAGTGTTCCAACACAACCAAAACTAATCACAAACCGATTTGTGTACTGTCAAATCAGTTCCTGGGTCTGAATAGGAACGAATTGTCAAGACATGCGCAAAGCCGCAATAAACTAAACATATCGTGATTGTAATTATATTATTTGTAACTATTGTCTCTGGCAGTTCTGATTTGTATTTGTTAATCGAGTTTACTCTTTATAGTTTTTGTTCATGGTCATTTATTTTATTTTGTGGTTTAAAATTGTAATAATGCGTCTGTTAAATTTAAAAAATGTGTTCCAACATAATCGACTTCCGAGATGAGTCCCAATCCCCGACCAGTACCTGACAAGTTGTCAATTACTAGTCATCGACAGATTGTCAACAATAAGTTTTGGATTGGTTTATGTATTGTTCCAAGATCGTTGTTGGAACAAACCTATAGTTGCAATACTCATTCTTCTGTCCTTTATTAATAGAATATAAATAGGCGAAGTAAGGAGCCCAAATATTTTACATGAGCAGGCTTAAAAGGTAAAGGGGCCAATTATTATTGGATAAATTGCTCGAACAAGTTTTTAAACCCTTATCAAAAGGCGATATAGTTAAAAATCAAGGCTTGTGAAAATCATCACATGGTTTCCCCTAAGCAATGCCAATGCTTCACAAACCAAAAAATTCAACGTGCTAATACTACTATCGGCTTTCGGTATTTCGTTCCAAGTTAAATCATTTTTCGTTTTTGTTACGCTACGAGTTTACCCTTGTGGGCCTAAGTCTCGATAAGGTGGGAACCAACATTTTGGCGTCTCTTGAATCAAATTGGTGAATGTAATATATCGTAGATGGCAAATCGCTGCTTAACTTACATTGAAAACTTTTAACTTTATTAAGGTATTTTATTTCGGTAAATTTTTAAGAGCTTTTTTGTAGGATAAGGAATTTATTTCTCTTATATGAATTTTATAGATTTCTGGTAAAAAATTAAATATTTTATGAGATATAAATAATTCTAACATAGTAGTTTATTAATAAATACTTTACCCTGGAGGTTCTCCACTCGTCTCCAAGTTGCGTTATTATATTAACACTAAGAGGACTTTTTTTGTTGTGAAAGACACCACGATCTACGAAACTCGAGAAATCTGTAGTTAAAATATTTTTCGCGTATGTAGCATCAGTCACGACCAAATATGGAGTCAAACCCAAATAGACACCTAGAAATAAGGAGAGAATATTTATACAATAAGTAAGATGGATATTTCTGATATATTTTAACAACCACTATACTCTTTTCAAATCATTACATCAACAAAATTAAAAATATTTGTTTTTGGAAATACTTTTAAGTTTATTTTGAATGTTCAGCTATTTACTCTATACTTTCTAACATGACTAAATTGACGAAAAATAAAATTGAGTTACACTGAGGCAGTAAAAAGTAATACTTTAATATTTTTGCTCATTTAACTTTATTTTAAGTTACTCTGAACATTCTTGAAACTGATTTTTTTAAAAAATCCTAATTTAACAGTAAAACTGTTCAAAAACTTGCAAATTCTTTGAAAACGTTGTCAGAAATGCACTTTTAACGTTAAATTAGTGTACAGTCTGTTCACTATACTTATGCGGGTTTCGGATTAACAAAATTATGCAAATTAGTCGTTGACAACCAATTCCAATAAGCCTCTTCCCAAGAAATTAGGTAAAATTGCCCTAATGGTCAGATTTAAATTAAAATAACATTAGGGTAGGTATTAAATTTGTTACAAATATTGCAGTGTTGCAAGTGTTGACATTGTATGTATATTGTAAATTTAGTGGAGATTTTAAAAATGCCTTTTACGTGTGTTAGATGTAGATAGTCTAATTTTTAGTGTACATAAGTATTTTACGGATGAAAACGAAAATGGCGGTCCTTTAAAATCGGTAATGTCTGTACAACAACGCGTATGCGATGCTCTAGGAATTACTGAAACCAAATTAAAAGGAGTATTACAAAATCACAATAGTGAACTGCCGAAAGAAAATCACCGCAAAACTCGCTCATCATTGAAAACGAAATATATTCCAGATGGAAAGAAATTTGAAATTCGTGATACCATTTATCGAATGAGGGCCAACAAGGAACATGTGACCTTAAATACAATTTTCTCGGAATTAATAGATAGAAAATTTGATGACATTGGCAGAACAAGTTTATGGCAAGTGATACATAATTTGGGTTTCAAATTTCAAAGGAGGATAACAGAAATGTCCTTTGTGAAAAAAGATCTGTCGTGCACAAACAAAATTAACTATTCTAAATTTAAGGAAGAAGAGGCGAATTTTATATATTTAGACGAAACATGAATATTTTATAAGGGTGCAACCAAGAGTATATGGCAATATGATAACGTAAAGTCCATCAAACATACCGATGAAGAAGGGAAGCGACACATAATTTTACATGCAGGAGGGAAATCGGGTTTCATAGAAGGTGCTGATATAATATTTTCATCTAAATCAAAATCCAGTGACTATCACGATAATATGAACACAGAAATGTAGGTAAAATGGTTGCATGAAAAACTTCTCCCAGGTTTAAGTGGGCCCAGCGTAATTATTTTAGACAATGCACCTTACCATTCTAAAGTATTAAACAAAAGTCCAACGAATTCTTGGACTGTTGATAAAATTAAAGAGTGGTTGACAAAGGAACATATACCATTTCCTAAATAATCAGAATTATTACGCTTGGCAAATAAACACGCAAAACCAAAAACCTTTGTTGTGGATCAGATTATTGAAAGTTACGGTCATCAAGTTTTACGTCTGTCACCGTATCATTGCCAGTTTAATCCCATCGAATATATATGGGGAATAGCAAAACAATATTATGACAACCATATTGGGCCTAATGGTTATAGGGGCGACGCAGTTCGGGAAACTTGGCGAAAGCACTTTCAATTGCAACTCCAGAAGTGTGGCGGAACTGTATATCCAAGTGCGAGAAACTAATAAAAAAATTGGTGGACTCGTGAAAATAAAATAAACGAAATAAGTCCAATCATAATAACAATTAAGGGTGATGACATTGTTGATGATGACTATTATGACATTTTGGATGATAATGACTGATTTTCATTTTTGTTGGAGGGTTCAATTTTGTTATTTTTCATTTGAAATTCTCTACATGGAACAAATTTTTATGTTTGAAAATATTTTATTTGAGCTTAATAACCCTCTTATTATACATAGACCATATTTTCTGTGTGAAGTGTAATATAAAATTATTATTAGGTTTATAATAGCCACATTAGACTAGATTATTATTTAATTAAAAAGTTGTACATTATTTTTCATTTCATTTAACCAGTTGATATTTCCCCAAAGAACAGGTCAAACTTTCGGGTACTGGAAATATAAAATTTTTAATCCGTAACCCGCGTAAGTATAACGAAGAGATTGTAAGATAATTTAGTAGTTTTGTTTTTAATCTGATGATGGTGTATCGTTTATTTTAAAATTCATATAGCAATGTTGGTATATAAAAAAGCTAGCTTATAGATATATTTAAAAGGAAGAAGGTTTAGCTCGTTGTAAAAAAGAAAAGAAAAATAATATTGAGCTCATCTCAAAACTTTACTTACCCCCTAATTTGTGTCCTTTTTTTTTAAATTCGTTATGATATATTTCAGAAAGTCCTCCCAACGATATCCCTTTCGGTAAACTTAACGAGTGATTGCCCAACGGGAAAATGGGTGGAATTTGGGGAATACCCTTTTTGGTCCAATAACTGTATTTATGTCTAATATAAAAATATGCAGCGATTACAAGGGTTGTAATCGCTATGATTAAATCGGTCATTAATTTGTCCGTTATAAACATTTTATCTGAAACAAGAAATATATACATATTATACAGATTCGGAAAAATGTAAGTTTATATTTTGGAGTAGTAAGCGTTAATTTTTGAATTTGCAAAAATATTTACTAGAATAGATCCTTATTCATGTTAAACATGTAAAACACATATATTTTGTTAACTGGAAATTAAAAATTTTAAAATATTTTATCCTATTAATTTATATATTAATTACTCAACTGCTTTTCAGCAATTAATAGTATCAATAAACAAATAGCGTGAGTTTAAATGGTGAGTTATTATAACTCACGCTGGGCTCCTACGATAATTCGGTATGTAAATAGTGTGCGCAGTAAATTCTTGGAAATTTTAAAGTCGATAAATTTTCCATTGGCGTAAAATGTTAGAAAGATTTTTTAACAACTGGAAAGGAATAAATAATAAACAAAAGATTTGAAATTTTAAATTGTCAACGCCTCTCAATAGGCGGGACAGTCAATTATTACATTAAGGGGAAAAAGGTCATTTGATATTTTAACAAGATAATTTTGACGTTTTTAATTCAATTTCTAATAATAGTGCTAAAAAAAATTAATTTAGATAGTAAAGATGAGTTATTATGTACACCTCCAGAAACAAGAGAGATAACTAATAATGCAATACAGAATTTATTACCAGAAAATTTAAAAAACAAGTATAAATGTGTATACTAAAATTTTCAAGATTGGTGTAACTCGTTTACAGAAAATGTACCTTTGGCATATTTTAATAAACTTAGCAATAAATATAAAGCATCGTCCTATGGACTTTCTACTCTTTTCTAAGAAGCACACTCAATATAAATAATGTTTCTTAAACGTCAATCAGAAAAACATATAACTAAAAAGCCAAAAACATCTACAGCAGAACAACTTAATAATTTCATAAATGAAGCTTCTGATGAGAAATATCCGGAGACAAAGGTAATAGCTTTTACAAAGATTCAAACGTTTTTATCATCTAGTCAACTATGTAATTCTTTCTCGATACTTGTATCTTAGTATTTATTGTTATAGTCGTAGATAAAGTATAGTATTCAACTTGCAGTAATGGTCATAATTCACTTGATCTGCGTGAGTTATTACCTGCATTACCGTTCGTTAAATAATATACTATTACTTTATTATCTAGGAACTGATCAGAAAGAAGTATTAGACCTAGATAATAATTTTGTATTGAATTATAATGCCGAAATAAAAAAAAACACTAAACTTTTATTAGTGATGTACATGTGGTGTTCACATCGTCTAAAATAGAAATATTATAAAATATTGTTGCTTTATAATGCTTTATAAATAGTTCTAAACATTTTAATTTTCAGTCACTTAAATTGAACACGATTAGTAAAATTTTATATTTATTACTTAAATAATATGTGAAATAATGAAAGTATGAAACACATTTGTATTTATAATGTCATATTTATACAGCAGCAATTTCAAACTATATACAACAAACCACATGGAAAAGAACAAACTCTAAGCTTGTTTTGTCGAAATGACTAATACGGCTTAATTGTTAAATAACACTTGCTTTTGTTACAATATTTTGTTAACAAGATTATAACTTAAAGGAACCTTTATATTAAATAAATTTCACCTCTAAATACATTGACTTCATGACTTTCTATTTAGATATTCTTGATGATAAAGTGGTACAATTTTTGAATAAAGTGCCCATTTCGCGTTTATTACTGCTAAAAAAAAATTATGCAGAAATAATTTTGGATAATATTCTATTTTAAAATTAATTGAGGCACCCCTATCTATGGGGCCTGAGTATTGAATTCGTGTCAAACAAAAATTTTTTTATTTTTACTTTTTAACACTTTTCCCAACGTTTCCGATTACACTAATGGGTAAATCCCAGCTCCATTGGATCAATGTTTTCAAAATGTTTAGTTAAATAATTCAAGTATTACCTACCTTATGAACGCAGCACTTACTGTAACTCAATCTACCATAAATAAAAACAAACTGATTTTAACAAGACGTTATTCCACTATATATATATACGCATTCAAATTAGTAAAAGTCATCATTACTATCAACATTAAAAACTTAATGCACTCGTCCACTTGAGATTTTGGAATATCATCTTGAATAAATATTTATATTTTAGTTTTATAACTATTAGTCCCTCAGATAGTGACAGGTTTATTAGGTGCCCCATTTTCGCATACAAGCCTCGACAGGGGTTGAAAAGTACATCGATTTTAAGTAGAATAAAAGGAAATTTACGAGTGGCTACTGGGGATAATACATGGAAAATTCTATTTTTCCAAACAAAAACGAAAGGTTACTTGTTGCCCATTTTCCCACGCAAGCTGTTTTCACTATATGATTAATTAATAGAACTAGGCTTCGGAAAAACAAAGGTTTTAATGTTGTTAAAGTGACTAAAGGGTTGAAATACGGGCGTAGTCTTCTGAGAAAAAATCAAGATTTTGCCCGATTTTTCCACACAAGCCCATCGAATGTATGAAAACGTACGTCGTTACTAGTCCGAAATAGTATATTACATAACAAGTGTGGAAAGTGATATATTAGGCACGAGTAAAATTTAGCACGAGCAGCGTAGCATTGAGTGCGGAAACGTAACGAATGCATTCCAACAAGTTATGTACACTATTTTTTCTACGACCCCAACATTTTTAATATTCATAAATTTTTAATTTTAATAAATATTGATTATTTTATAAATCTTATAAAATAACCATTGGACATGCATAATTTTAGGGTTTAAAATGAAGTTTTAGAATTTTAAATAAATATGTTTTTATTGAACTTTTATTGAAAATAAATCTATCTACAAACAAATGGCACACTAGTCGGTATTAATAATTTAATTAAATTACTATAAAATCCATTTTTAACCTCAAAACTAAAAAAAATAGGCATTTTTTTCAATTTTTGTCATGTGATCCATAAAGATAAAATGTAAAATGATTATTGGAACAGTTGTGAAAATTTATTGGTATTTGAGAAACATTATGTGATAAAGAATTTTCTATATTTTTTTCAACGTTTAAATCGTGCAATTTTGTACTATTTTCTATATAATTTGAGTATGTTTCCTCTAAAACCAGATTTTTTTCTGTTGCTGTTGAAGTTGAACTACTTTCTCTGATATTTTCAATCGTTTTGCTATTGACTCTTCGATGTAACCTTATGCAACATTTGAAGACTTCCAGCCTCCATGCCGCTTCAATGTAGAAATATCGAAATATCGAAATATCGAAATATCGAAATATCGAAATATCGAAATATCGAAATATCGAAATATCGAAATATCGAAATATCGAAATATCGAAATATCGAAATATCGAAATATCGAAATATCGAAATATCGAAATATCGAAATATCGAAATATCGAAATATCGAAATATCGAAATATCGAAATATCGAAATATCGAAATATCGAAATATCGAAATATCGAAATATCGAAATATCGAAATATCGAAATATCGAAATATCGAAATATCGAAATATCGAAATATCGAAATATCGAAATATCGAAATATCGAAATATCGAAATATCGAAATATCGAAATATCGAAATATCGAAATATCGAAATATCGAAATATCGAAATATCGAAATATCGAAATATCGAAATATCGAAATATCGAAATATCGAAATATCGAAATATCGAAATATCGAAATATCGAAATATCGAAATATCGAAATATCGAAATATCGAAATATCGAAATATCGAAATATCGAAATATCGAAATATCGAAATATCGAAATATCGAAATATCGAAATATCGAAATATCGAAATATAAATATCGAAATATCGAAATATCGAAATATCGAAATATCGAAATATCGAAATATCGAAATATCGAAATATCGAAATATCGAAATATCGAAATATCGAAATATCGAAATATCGAAATATCGAAATATCGAAATATCGAAATATCGAAATATCGAAATATATCGAAATATCGAAATATCGAAATATCGAAATATCGAAATATCGAAATATCGAAATATCGAAATATCGAAATATCGAAATATCGAAATATCGAAATATCGAAATATCGAAATATCGAAATATCGAAATATCGAAATATCGAAATATCGAAATATCGAAATATCGAAATATCGAAATATCGAAATATCGAAATATCGAAATATCGAAATATCGAAATATCGAAATATCGAAATATCGAAATATCGAAATATCGAAATATCGAAATATCGAAATATCGAAATATCGAAATATCGAAATATCGAAATATCGAAATATCGAAATATCGAAATATCGAAATATCGAAATATCGAAATATCGAAATATCGAAATATCGAAATATCGAAATATCGAAATATCGAAATATCGAAATATCGAAATATCGAAATATCGAAATATCGAAATATCGAAATATCGAAATATCGAAATATCGAAATATCGAAATATCGAAATATCGAAATATCGAAATATCGAAATATCGAAATATCGAAATATCGAAATATCGAAATATCGAAATATCGAAATATCGAAATATCGAAATATCGAAATATCGAAATATATCGAAATATCGAAATATCGAAATATCGAAATATCGAAATATCGAAATATCGAAATATCGAAATATCGAAATATCGAAATATCGAAATATCGAAATATCGAAATATCGAAATATCGAAATCGAAATATCGAAATATCGAAATATCGAAATATCGAAATATCGAAATATCGAAATATCGAAATATCGAAATATCGAAATATCGAAATATCGAAATATCGAAATATCGAAATATCGAAATATCGAAATATCGAAATATCGAAATATCGAAATATCGAAATATCGAAATCGAAATATCGAAATATCGAAATATCGAAATATCGAAATATCGAAATATCGAAATATCGAAATATCGAAATATCGAAATATCGAAATATCGAAATATCGAAATATCGAAATATCGAAATATCGAAATATCGAAATATCGAAATATCGAAATATCGAAATATCGAAATATCGAAATATCGAAATATCGAAATATCGAAATATCGAAATATCGAAATATCGAAATATCGAAATATCGAAATATCGAAATATCGAAATATCGAAATATCGAAATATCGAAATATCGAAATATCGAAATATCGAAATATCGAAATATCGAAATATCGAAATATCGAAATATCGAAATATCGAAATATCGAAATATCGAAATATCGAAATATCGAAATATCGAAATATCGAAATATCGAAATATCGAAATATCGAAATATCGAAATATCGAAATATCGAAATATCGAAATATCGAAATATCGAAATATCGAAATATCGAAATATCGAAATATCGAAATATCGAAATATCGAAATATCGAAATATCGAAATATCGAAATATCGAAATATCGAAATATCGAAATATCGAAATATCGAAATATCGAAATATCGAAATATCGAAATATCGAAATATCGAAATATCGAAATATCGAAATATCGAAATATCGAAATATCGAAATATCGAAATATCGAAATATCGAAATATCGAAATATCGAAATATCGAAATATCGAAATATCGAAATATCGAAATATCGAAATATCGAAATATCGAAATATCGAAATATCGAAATATCGAAATATCGAAATATCGAAATATCGAAATATCGAAATATCGAAATATCGAAATATCGAAATATCGAAATATCGAAATATCGAAATATCGAAATATCGAAATATCGAAATATCGAAATATCGAAATATCGAAATATCGAAATATCGAAATATCGAAATATCGAAATATCGAAATATCGAAATATCGAAATATCGAAATATCGAAATATCGAAATATCGAAATATCGAAATATCGAAATATCGAAATATCGAAATATCGAAATATCGAAATATCGAAATATCGAAATATCGAAATATCGAAATATCGAAATATCGAAATATCGAAATATCGAAATATCGAAATATCGAAATATCGAAATATCGAAATATCGAAATATCGAAATATCGAAATATCGAAATATCGAAATATCGAAATATCGAAATATCGAAATATCGAAATATCGAAATATCGAAATATCGAAATATCGAAATATCGAAATATCGAAATATCGAAATATCGAAATATCGAAATATCGAAATATCGAAATATCGAAATATCGAAATATCGAAATATCGAAATATCGAAATATCGAAATATCGAAATATCGAAATATCGAAATATCGAAATATCGAAATATCGAAATATCGAAATATCGAAATATCGAAATATCGAAATATCGAAATATCGAAATATCGAAATATCGAAATATCGAAATATCGAAATATCGAAATATCGAAATATCGAAATATCGAAATATCGAAATATCGAAATATCGAAATATCGAAATATCGAAAATATCGAAATATCGAAATATCGAAATATCGAAATATCGAAATATCGAAATATCGAAATATCGAAATATCGAAATATCGAAATATCGAAATATCGAAATATCGAAATATCGAAATATCGAAATATCGAAATATCGAAATATCGAAATATCGAAATATCGAAATATCGAAATATCGAAATATCGAAATATCGAAATATCGAAATATCGAAATATCGAAATATCGAAATATCGAAATATCGAAATATCGAAATATCGAAATATCGAAATATCGAAATATCGAAATATCGAAATATCGAAATATCGAAATATCGAAATATCGAAATATCGAAATATCGAAATATCGAAATATCGAAATATCGAAATATCGAAATATCGAAATATCGAAATATCGAAATATCGAAATATCGAAATATCGAAATATCGAAATATCGAAATATCGAAATATCGAAATATCGAAATATCGAAATATCGAAATATCGAAATATCGAAATATCGAAATATCGAAATATCGAAATATCGAAATATCGAAATATCGAAATATCGAAATATCGAAATATCGAAATATCGAAATATCGAAATATCGAAATATCGAAATATCGAAATATCGAAATATCGAAATATCGAAATATCGAAATATCGAAATATCGAAATATCGAAATATCGAAATATCGAAATATCGAAATATCGAAATATCGAAATA